TCTTTCCAAATTTCCTTTAGCTCAAGTATTTTATAAATATTTGTGTTTGGTACCTCAGGTGTTACAGATAAATACTTCTATTCATATTTTACCTTAACGTAGCTTAAACTAATGCAATACTACAAAACTATTTCTGACCACAGAGAACTGCATTAAGTCTTGACATAACTCCGCAAGCTAATCAAATTCTAACAAAAGGAGTGATGCAGTCTTTGTAAACATAGGTGCATACCTCCTAAATTGATCCTACCTGACCAAGTCGGACAAACTCTGCTTGCCGAGCTTCCTCTTTTTTCCGTGTTGATTTTGGGGACTCTGGTAACACATCACTGAAAGATCTTCTATTGAGCATATTCTAAAACACAACATGTTTGTTTTTAAAACTTAACCAAAAGTTTTCATAATCTTTTAATCTGATTTAAATTAACATAATATCATTTAAATTTTCTGTCTTTTTTTTTTGATATTTTCCTGTAGTGATGAAATTAACTGTATAGCTTCTCAGAGAACAGAAATGGCAACTCTCCCAAGTCTTGAGTGCTTTACTTTCCAACTTGTCATAGTTTATCACTGTCGTCTTCTATACAATCATAACAAAAGACCATAGACAAGAATATATGGACCAAAAAAACTTTAAGCAGATCTATTTAGTTAAGAGAAATAAACAGTGGGGAAAAAAATAGCACCTTGCTAATTCTAGAAGTACTGAACTTCTTTTTAGTTAGTTAAGAATCACCTTAAGAGTATGTCTTCATCACCTAAAATTAAGTTATCTCATTGCTACCTGAGGGTAAAAATGATCCAAATTTATACATAATGGAACAAGTAAGTGCAGTTCTTATGGTGATGAAAATAATACCTGTTTTGCAGAGCCTAAATTTCCTATTCCCTTGTTGCAGGTAAGCTTATGCAAAGTATGACATTGTTATGCTTCTCCTCACACTTGGTTTAAATAAATGCATGAAGAGTCCCATCCTGAAAGGAGTGCCTGCCAACTTTCCTATAACTGTAAAACAAGCTATATGACAATTGGTATTTAGCCCAATGTATGCAATTCAGTGCTCATTAGGATTACAGCCTTTTAAAGAACATTCAACCTACTAGTGAGAACAGGAAAGCACATATGAGGGATGCAGAGACTTCCAACTTACATTTACCTTGTGTAGATCAGGTATCAGGTCTTGGTATAAAGAGCGGATCAGCATGTCTAGAGTGCGTTGACGTTTCTGAGAAAACGTTGGGGTTTCCAAGGTGGCTTTTTCCCCATTTATTACTAATATTATGGAGAAGAAGATACATTATCTAAACGAACTATGACAACTTCCACTGACTCTAGTTTGCCTCTATACAAAAATACCTGTTTTCACCTTAGTAATTTATAGTTGCCTCCTTTTTGCATGTATTTTAGTGAACAATCATAGAATGGTTAGGGTTGGAAGGGACCTTAAAGATCATCTAGTAATAATGAACCCTTAAGCTTAAAAGAGAAAAATAAGTAATAGAAGAATTCTTCAATGCATGCCAATAACCTCCTAACTAATAAAAAAATTAAAGACAAACTGCTAATCAATTTAAGTACTAAACCAATTTAAATATGTGAAATGACTTATTAGTCAAGTACCTGTCCGGTAAGCATCTAACTGCAATCATCACAATCAGTTCTCAAAGATTTCTTTCTCACTGATTTAGAGGCAAGTAAGGGTCAATGAAAACAGGAACTGAATCATTACAAAATTTAAAAGTTCTTAAAGGTGCTGAAAGGCACCTATGCAGCATGCATTCAGAAAAGTTTATACTTTCAGGTTTTCAGAGCTGCTAACCTAACTCCTTCTATTACTAAATATTGAACAGTGTTATAAACACTTTCAGATCTCCAAGTCCTTTAAGAAAATGCAAAGATAATATGGCTGCACATTCTGCAAATGTAAAAGTCAGTTTGTATCCAGTAGCCTGAGAAGCATAATTGCATAGAAACTCAGTTTTTTGTTAATCTGACTGGAACAGTTTGATGGAACTGACACCTCACCTACGCTACAGATTTGAAAAAAAAATCTATACAGCACAGCAGCATGCACAAGAAAACGTGTTTATAGTTTAAATATAATTAATTTCAATTTATTAAAGCACTTATTAAAAAAGTGTTTCTAGCAGAAGACAAAATTACTTACGTTTCACTAACACAAAATCTCTAAACTCCTGATGATTTGTAAACACAGGTGGGGATGGAAGGGGAGGCCCAAAGAGAGGAACACTTTCTTCTGAAAATATTTTCAGTCTGTTGAAAGAACAAATCTTCACCTATATTGAAAGTCACATTCAAACCCCACTTTTATAGACACTATTCAAAACAGAAGAAAGAATTGGAAATTGTTATCTGGGTATGCCTTAGGTAGGAACTCCCATGGATCTAACAAAAAAAATTCACTTGGAATTATACACTTGAGCAAAATTCCACTTCCTTTACACAAGCTAACACTGACAGAACTTTGCAGTTCTACTCATAGAACAATGCTTTTAGTGGCACTAGCAAAGTGGAGTCCTTTTCAAAAAAGTTGTAAAAGAAGAGTTCTTTGCCTACAAAATATGTTCTCCTTATAGATTTCCACTTTACCTATGCATTCACCACACGCATGACCTATTTAATTCTTTTTTATTAGCAATGGCTTACTACAACTTCCAGTATCTCAGGAATAGCAAATTCATTTCACTGAGGAAGAAAGAGTCAGAATGACTTCCGTGACAACTGGATCTGCAGAGTTCCTTTGATCCATAGGGAATCCAGACATAGCAAGAATGAACATACAAAAACTGTGCATACAACACGCTCAGCAAATCGTAGGTTCTTTAAGGTAAGTACTTGGTACTTCAGGTGACAGTCTGCACAATTTTTTTCACTGTAAGATAGCAGTCAGACAAAGATCCTTCAAGCAGCATGTGCAGCTGATACAGGTCGCAGCAAGTTAAGTGGTAAAATTATAGATTCAACCCATCTCTACTGTTACACAAACCAGTCAGAATTTGCTTGCTCAAAAAATCTGCAGTGATTGGCTCTTATTGAGTCAAATGGATTATAATGGATTCGTCAGGTCTTTTTTCATGAAAGCTTAGAAACTGCATATACAATCTGAAACACAGTATTACATTTGCATGAATATCAATCATTCTAATACTGGTTTCACAGATTCAAGACACAATTTCAGAGATGCTGTATGTCTATCTTATTCCATCCAGGTAAAAAAATAATCATAGACAGAGTGTGAAATGTTCCTTGGCTAGAGTAGAATGACTTAAGACACAGAAAACCACAACAAAACCAAACAAAACAACAGACTTCTTAAGTGACACAAAATATAAAGTCATTCTAAGCAAAAATTCAGTGTCGGACCTCACAGTAGCATTGCATATGAAACAAGGAAAGTTTGTCTCAAAAGCCTAGAATATCCCCTGATTCTTTGGACTGAAATTCTGGTCGCTTGGAAGACCATCTCCGCAAAAAAATAACAGAAGGAACAAGAGACCCATGTGGGCCTAAGGTGAAGGGACAGAAACAAATGTAATCAAGTCAAGCTGAAATAGGCAATAATGTATTAAGCCCTACAGGGTAAAAACACTGCATGGTATGCACCATGGAAAGATGTGTTAAGACTGGCAGAATGAAGCAACTAAGGAATAAGATGGAGTGATCCAATAAAAGCAGTCAGTTATTCAGAGTGAAAGAGACAAATTTATCTCATTTACCGCTACTCATTTTTTTCCCAAATAAACAGCAATGTAAAAAGCGTTTACCATGGCTAGCCCATATACTGACAATTAGGACAACATACACTTCTTAAAAGCTAATGAGGGATGTATGGCCAAGTTTCTGTCCCAAAACGAGAAGAAAAGAGAGAAATAAGTAACTGAGCTTTCACTGCACATTGGAATCATGAACATGTTTTGTGCCTCTCACAAACTTGGGAATGCTGAATCTATGAGGACAATCAGTTGGGGAAAAAAAAAAGCATATGCTTCCAAGTGTGAGAGTCCCAAGGCTAACTGAAAAACAGATGAAGAACACATTATTTACCAGCAAAATTCCACTAGGTTTTAAGTATGTGATGTCCAGCTGTACAATTACTCTATTAAGATCCCTAAAAATGAAGTGGTTTGCTTAGGTACAACCAAGCCCAGACCTATAAGGATTCGCAGTCCATGGCTATGACAACATCACATCTAATTAACTTTCATCATACATGCAGTTCACTATGTCATTGATCTCACCAGGTCAGAATGTTTTAGGTGTATCTTCCATCAGTTTGTTACATTTCATTTAAAAAGTAGCTTTGTTTTTACCCCCTTAGTTTATGTCTGTTCCAGAATTTCATTTTTCTGATGGTTAGAAACATGCAACTTATTCATAGCCAGTTTACAGCCATCTGCATCCAGGTCCATATTGCTCTTCAATTTCTTAAGTTCATTTGGCTTCCTGGCATAGACAGGTGGACAATACAAAATGTTTTCCTGTTATCTCTAAACCATCAGAAATTCAGTGTGAAGTCATTTGTTACAACCAGCACCTACCTGTAACTATCATTCTGTTTATTATATCTCACTAAGGCAAAAATATCTGCCATGCAGTTAAGGAAGTTAATCCAGCACTAATGAAGCTCACACGTATTTTAATACACTTTTTTTTCTTTCTGCAGCAGATCACACATTTAACAAAGGTAAAATATATTAATCAATGTAAATATAAAAAATATTCTAGACTATACACATTTTACTGTTTATAAAGCAGGTCCTATATAAAATTTTTTTGTGTTTAATCAACAGCTTAAAAAAAATTGAGGTAGTACCACAAATACAGACTTCTTGCCGTTATATGAAGTGTAAAGTATGCTATATAGTTTTGTGGGGGTGTGTGTGTGAGATAGACTTGTGATTAAAAATTCTTTCATTTGATAAAAAATTACTGATTCTGAACTTCGCTTATACCAAAACTTCCATTGAAGAAAAGATTCCCATGAAATAACTTAGCTAACTGAATTATAAGAAAATAGAGAGGAGGATTTGAAGTACATGTACACAAAAATGTATTACCAGTCTTGATTCATTACTTTGGGTAAATCTGGGGGGGAAAAAAAAAAAAAAAAATCAGAGAAATCCTTATGGTTGCCTTGCAGAGCATTTTTAGGGAATCAATTAGAGGCTTCTTGCTTTGATAGATTTCCTTAACACCATCTCTAAATTTTCAGTCCTTATAAACAGGTCAAAGATAGTGCAAGTCCGAATAACTTCATTGGTTGCATGGCTTTGTTCCAGATAGAATGAAGAGATCTTTGCCAACAGCTATGATCAGCACTATTAGAGACTGCACAATAAAAGAGACTTATGATGAGATTCAATTATTTCAATGTAAACATCCAGTGCTATTTAAGACGCTTGAGAGTATGTTGCCTAGTCTCCAGTTGCTATACTGAAAGGGGCACAGATCTCCTGTAGGCTCAGAGTCATATCTGCCAGACCTGTACAGGCATTTCAGATGTTGGGACATCTAAATTGGTGCTGGATGCCTTTATATGGGTAACTCAATCCTCCCTCACAGATGACGCATAGCAAACCCTTACAGCAGCTATCATTGCTGTATAGGACAGCACAGTGAGATATCTGTATGCTAATTTTTCTCAATGTAGAAGTAACAAAAAAAGGGTGCTATAGTATGTAAGAAAGTAAGTACAAAGTGCTAGTACAGAGTCAATGTGCTTTGAGATTCATCACATCTGACGCATATCAATGTCAACCCCCAGTTTTCTTGTGGACACCTTTATCCCTGGCTACTGTCAGCTGAAATTATCAGGAAGGTGATATGACTCCATCAACCAGCTGTGGATTACTTAAGATGACCTAAATAATAACATAGCCTCATGGATTTAAGGCACATCTGCCTATCCAACTCAATGATACCAAGGACAGTTGAACCTCAAAACGTATGTCAATAAAATCAAAGAGTGGAGTGCATCAATTACATCATAACAAATCCTCCTAACAGCAATAAGGCATGAACTATTCCTTTTTCACTAATGCTGACACTCTGATGAAGAGGTACATTCACTTGGTAAACATTTCTTATTAACAATATTTACGTTCCTCTGATAGCTATTTTTTTTTAATTGTGGAATTCTTTTTGTTCTAGTCACTACTTACACTTACAGTAAAAGAGGTTAATATTGAGAGCTTAAATCTAAAAAGTAAGACCATCCATGGATCAAGCTAGCAAGAAAGTTCTAACAACAGTTAGTCAGCCTGAGAACTAGGTTTAGAAGTTGTAAGCTTTATGGCTATTTTTAAACACTCAGCAACAGAGTATGGATAGAAATAAGGGTTTTCCTCTTTCCATGCATTTTTCTTCATTCTGTCCCATCTAGCCTAAAAGATGCCACATTGGGAACTATGGATCACTAGTGTGACCCCATGATAAACCCAAGCAATTGGAATCATATTGTCCTCACAATGTTTTCAACCAAAAGTCCGAAAAAACACAGGCTGCCAAAAACCTGGAGAATGTGTTTCTGAAAGATTTGAGAAATATTGATCTAAAAATACATAAATGTTTAAAATAAACAGCATTTAAACATTAAAAGGCAATATCCAGTAGTTAATGCCAAATTAATTCACATCACAAACAGAAATATTTTTATGAATTTATATTTTATGAAAATGTATGAAATTTAATTTCTGAAGTGATCCAAATAAATGCCTTCAGTAAAAATAAAATTTAAAAATCATGTTCTCACTTTGGCCTTTTCTTCTAAGTGGTTCAACACAAAAATTGTTTTATGAGGGAGACTTAGAGACTCCTAGTTGAGCAGATGAAGGTAAAGAATGTAAGAATGCAACTGTCTTTCTAAAATAGTTTTCAATCCCATAAACAGCATGCAGGAAGGACTGCAGGTAGAATTCCAAGTAATATTGATCTCTCTAAAAAAAAACCAAACAACCTACAAAAAAAACCCACTAGAAATTGTAAGGAAAAAGATACGTGTAAAATGAGAGCGAATCATGGATGGCTTGAATGCTGGAGAAGACTCTTCACCTTCCTGAAATACGATAGTGACAATGTCATTTCCAATATGTCGCTTCCTTTCTACCTGGAAAAAAAAAAAGAAAAGAAAAAAAAAGGGGGAGGGTGGAGAAGAGACAGACACAATGACTTAAAAGACATAAATAAATACCTCGGCAATTTTGTGATAGAATGGTAAAACAATATTCCTAAACCACAAACAGAAAAATTATGGTCAATATGATTGAAGCCAATATAAAATCGTTACTTAACTTCAAGCAAGTAAACCTAACAACGCCACGGTGCACACGCAAGGCAGCTGCTAAAACAGCAGCTATTACGTATTTCTAGGTTAGCAAAGAACTCGTAATTTCTTTAATTTCCATAATTAATATTCACAAATTGGGCATGGAACACCTAACATTCCAAAACAGCAAATCCACCACTTGAAGGAAAAAAACCTCTAATGCTGAGTTATTCTTTAAAAACAATAAATGTCCTGATTGGCCTCTGGTTTCTGCTGTGATCTTGTCATCAATCCAAGGCAAAAGCATGAGAAAACTGACATGGAAATAAAGAAAGGACAATATAATTACATGATCTAATTATACTATTATAATAATACACAGTATATAATTATTGCTTAAATAAGAAAATAGTAAAACAAGTAATTTGCAAGTAATTTTAGGTAAATCATTATGGATGTGTGATGTATAGGTAAATGCATGTGCTTATAAAGTATTTTTTTCATATAATACATAGAAAGGTTCCAGCAATGGATTACAGCACATTTCAACAGTACCCAACAACTCACATAGTCAATTTATGAGAGAGCAACAGCGGTGCTTTAGAGCAAATGCACAACGCTTGCCGTTAACATGCTCACATGGGGAATTTCCTTCGAGCTACACGAATTGCTACCCGAGTACGAGTTGTGTGCTACGTACATGGGTATTCTGACAATTCACACACAAGTCTAATTTCCAATCTTCCTAAATTCTTTGAGGTAATGATAGTTGCAGCAGCAAAGCTCTACAAATCGGCTGGATAACAGAATACTCAATCACTTCTCGGCCCATCAATTTTGACCTTCTTCACAAGTGTCTTTCATATCATAATAGAGATGATACGATGCATTATCTTCCAACGAACTTCATAAAATTTTCAGCATTGGATATGATATTGAGGAAAAAATATAGCAAAGGTCTTCAGACTTACATTTCTAAAATATTAACAGGTAACAAATAAAACCCCAAAACACCCCAGAGAGAACCATGTACCTGCTGCTTGTTCTCTCTAGAATATGGTAGCATTGTTGAAACATGGAACATAATTTCATGCCCTTGAAAAACTGTATAGATGGAACAGGTTCCTGTTGTATCATCTGCAAGGGAAAACAACATTCTCA